CAGCATTGATCCAACCTTGGAGCAACATTGTGCCAACATTGTATCGACTGCAAATGTTTAAAAAGTTTCCATTCGAGAAAAAATCGAAAAAAAAAGAAAAATGAAAAAACGAATACTAAACTAAATTCACGCACTAAATATTTCCAACCCCAAGTAAATTCCAGGGAAATGTCGGAGTGGATTTATATACATCCAATATCCATGTGCATCTGTGTTTCTCCAGTCGGTGAATTTATTCGACGTGATTTTCGAAAGAGCTTCTGTTCCCCCTTATTCTTGGGCCCAGGTATCGACTGGCGCGTGCCCTCGATTATCCAACATTTATTTTCTCTCTCTTTTGCCCGGAGCCGGCACCGCATTTCGTAGAAAATAGAGAGCAGAGGGGAAGTGGAGCACGTGCCAACTCCAATAAGTGGATGAATGGCAGGTTTTTTTTATTCAGCCGAGAGAGTGATACGGGTATTTCTCACGATGCAGATTTGTTGGGGCACGTGAGTGATATTACATGGGGCAATTACGAATTCATTGGGGGATTTATCTTCAGGTGGAGGTAAAGTGACATTCAGTCGGATTTGTGGTTTTGGAGCGCTTGGACTCGTGTCTGCGGGGAGAAAATATCACTCCTGCCAATTAAATTTGTTGCTACCAAACAAATTTGACAAACAAAATTATGCCTGGATTTTACCGTGAGACTTTAGACATTTTGTTGTAACAGAGCAGAGGATTTATCACTTTAAAAATGCCGCGCATTTTTGCGACGCCAACTTCACGCGACTCATCAACCAATCAGGCATGAGTGGTCATACAATTTCGATATTGTTCGATATAAATCAACTTCATGATACTCCCTACAAGATAATCTCTTGTTTCTTCATTTCTTTTATTGTCCTTCGTTTTTTTTAAGATGCCATATGACTCAAGTCATCACTTTTGCATAATACAATGTTTAGTAATAAAATAATCAATCGATTAATAGAAGTTCTAACGATTTTTCTCATTGCGAATCAAAACTCGTGGAGATAAGAAAAGCCGATAAGATGATCTGAATGGTGAAATTCCTGAGCTGGTGGATAAACCCCGAGGGAGAAGTTTTCCCACAGAAGAGTAATGGCCGACACGGTCCCAGGTGTCGCTCCGGGGGTATCTGCAATTTGCGATGTTTCCGTAACCGGGCATTTGAATAATGTCGCCCTCTGCATTTCTCCTCCTCCATGATCCCCGGGTTTTATTTTCACTCGAGGACCTAGATGTGCAGCTGCTGGTTAGGTGGGGGGCAATAGGGGCTGAACTTGTCCTGTTAAAATTGCACATTTTCCCGAGAAATAAGAGATATGTGCGCAGTTTGCGACTGTATTGGATAAATATAGAGTGAAGCATTTTCCCGTGTGAAATTCACTTCCCCCTGAAGCGGGATTTTTCGTCGAGGTGAGAGCAACGAAGCGTCCTAAACCAATATTCTTACTCGATATCTCTTGTGCCCCCCCTCTTTTACCCGACCCCTCGTATTCACCACTCGCACCAAAACATTTTCATCTTTATACGGTTTCTGTATCCAATTTCGAGACGTATATCCGTGCTTTTGCCCACGATGTCCAGCTTTAGGTACTCTTCATTTACCCCAACTCTCGAACTGTCTCGTAATCCGGGGATTCGTCTGATGGTATCACTTCATTGTATGGATTTTTATTTGTCGTGAATTCATGGGGAAATGTTGGGGGGGGGGGGGGATCGTTTAATATCGACATGTCAATTTTGCGCATGTCATGTGGGTTAAAAGGGAGACAAGAAAAGTACGGGTTTATCGTTTTGATGCTGATATTGATCTTTTTGTGAATGCATTTTGACTTGATGAGTTTGTTCTCAGGGTCAAATATGACAGTTGAGGCTATTATTCGCTTGAACGTGAAGGGTATGGGTTGAAGGTCAAATGTGAGGGTCAACATTCGCTTTTATGATTGACAGTTGACGCTGTCACTCACTCAAAAGTGAAAACAATGGGTTGAGGGTCAAATGTAGGGGTCAACATCGGCCTTTGACCTTCATTGACCTCCACGAACATGTAGAGGTCAAAATAAACCGGCAATGCGCGTTATTTTCATCGAAATTTCGCATTTCAGATGCAATAATCTCTTTCGGTATCTGAGTATTGAACAATTGTTGGAATATATAATCCATGGAAAGAAATGAAAGAAAGGAAATCAAATGGAGGACTTCCGAGCTCACATCTAATTAATGTATTGTTCCACCGGCTGTCGTCGGCCCTCAAGAAATCTGCATCTGAGGCACATGAATATGGAACATTCCGCCCATGATGTAGTTTCTCTGTATGTAAAACGGGGAATCACATGAGTGGAGCATTTTTGGGGTTTCTCTGGCGGTGGAACTGTGAAACGTCGACGTCAGCTTGAAAATATTGCCTCGTGCTCGGAGCAGAGACTCGTTAGCACTGACACGTCAAATATTTATTTGCATTACAATGCAAATTAAAAGGCTGGAAATCCATTTTATAACTGTAATACGTAATAATTTAATAAATCTTTAAGAATTATAATGAAGCCTTTTGCTCCCGAATGGAGGGAGATTTGAAAATGTGGGATCAGATGTGAATGATTTATTATTCCGATCTTCCAACATGGCCGAAAAGATAACGAAACGAATTTTTAAAGCCATTATTAAAGTATTTCATAGCATTATGTGTTCATTTGAGAAAAATTCGATTTCTAATAAAATCAAAAAACGAGAAATTTTGATAAATTAATCGAATTTTAATTAATGTCGATGACTACCGCTCAACAACAATCTAAAAAAATCATTCCATACATAGACGCAACAAAAAAATTCAAAATTTAAATATCCAAAATTGCAGTGTTTCCATTGGTGACCAAAATCATATAAAAATATTAAAAAAATGAACTCAACACGTTAAAAAAATTTAAACAAATTAATATCCCGTATAATATCTCAAAATTCAGAGGTCTCGAGCTCCTGCCATGTCTCCCTGAACACAAAAATGCCAATTTCCAGTAATGATTATTCAATGAAATGATAATATTAGTTATGACGATACAGGCTTAAAAGTTTTGGTCGTACGATACGAGTGGAAATAAAATAGTGTTTTATCGGGATCACCGGGCAATATGGATGGTAATGCGAATTCTATATTCTCCATAGGCGGATAGGGGATATGCGCGCGTGCATACGTAGAACGGCATTATCCATGCAAATATTATACACGTCTACGTACAGGGCCGTGTAAACATTCCCGGAGCACGTGGCTGAAGGCCTTTGAAAACTGCATTGCATGAGACTCGAATGTGCGCGTCAATCTCGGTGAAAATTCTGATGAGGTGAAATGCCGGATTTTCCGCAAAACTCATCCACCATTCTCATTGATTAATTCACGTATCCACTCCGATCCATCGGTGCAATTTTTATTTCTCTTCTGATTTACCCGGGGTATTAATCACGACTCCACCAACTCGGGCCGATGTATCTCCGGGGAAATTTTATCTGGAGTGCAGCTGGCACATGCAGTGATATGTCGGAATCATCTTTGAATTAGAGTTATTGAACAACATGCGAGTTGCCACTAACTTCCGGAGTTAGTGTGTGGAACGATGAGTTGGATATTCTGAGATTTACGTGTTGACGGTAATTGTAATTAACATCAAGTGATTTTAATTTTGTTGGTTTTACGATTGCATTGGGTGATTGTTTATGGAAAGTTGATCAGTTGGAGAACGAAGGAATATGATTTGCCAATTGCTTTGGATAGCTGCGACACCTCGCGGTGGCGTCCCCGAACTGATTGCCATAACCTTTCGCACTCGCACGTGATGACAAATAAATATCTCGATATTTTTCAGTGCTAATGTTCAGAAGAGGGGCATTAACGCAATTAGTGACGAAGAATTCGCAAGATTACATGAGCTCACAATGACAATTACGCTTTGAGCGGTAGAAAAAATAATACTTTTGTAATATACAAAACGAAAATCTAGGGACTGCTATTTTTCGAAATGAATCCTCTTGAAATGTATCAATAGGACTAGTAAAGTTAAAACAGTACAAACTCTATAATTATTTATCACGTCTCATTACTGTCGACTGGCGGACCCATTGGAATTATTCGAGCTCCAGACATGCCAACGACATGAAAAGGATCCGTTCATCACAATCGGATCTCTAACGAGCCCAATTGAAAAGCGCAAATATGCAGCCGTTTTATTAATTTTGTTCTATATCTCGGAATAATGACGTGACATCGACAATGAGACCGTAACGAGATCCGTCGGGAGACTGTTCGACATGCTGTGACGTGGATATATGTGTATGCAGCGGATCGGTGCTCTACGAACAATGCGTCCTCAAATTGGCGAAAGAGTCGGGGGAATAAGCCGAGTTAATTCCAGCCGATTCTAACAAAGCCAAGGAAACTATTTACATGTGTGGGTGGTTCAAACAAGTGTAGGTAATGTTTTTGAGATAATGGAGTTGTGAATGCGCGAAACAAATCACTACTGTTGTCCTTCTTGAGTCAAACCAGAAAGAAGACTTGAATCAAGTTGAAAATCAACTGGAATCAAGTCGGCCGAGTCGAACTACATCCATTCAGAGTTCAATGTGGAAGTTGATGAATCAAAGTTGAGTCAAGTTGAATGAGGTTGAATGAAATTGAATCAAGTCGAGTCAAGTTGAATCAATCCGAAACAACTTGAATCAAGAGGAGACATCAAGTTGCGTCAACTTGAATTAGGGCGACAAGCCAAGTTGAGTCAAGTTGAATAAACTTGAATTATGACGACAACTCAAGTTGAGTCAAACTGAATCAATTTTGAATTTTCAATTGAATCAAGTTTCAGTCTCGACTTGAATCAATTTGAATCAAACTGGAAAATCAGTTATAATTGACCCAGTGTATCGCGTTGCGTTCTTTCGAGTCAGACTTGACTCACAAAATGACTTGATACATTAAATAGAATTTGAAGTATTTGACTTACCGTGCAGTTGCACGAGAGACTGTAGTGTACTGGCATTGTGGTTTATGAATCCTGTAACAAGCCAAATAATAAAATCATTATTGCGGATTCGATAACAAAAGAAAGCAAGATTAGAGAGAATTAACCATAAATTCAGCTGTTGAGTGCTGACGATTGACGATAGTAAAGTACTTTGGACGGAGTTTCGCAGTCTCCGGAGGACTCGTCTTCCGGTGAAACGAGTTCGTGCCACGGCTGAGGAACCCGTTGGAAACTAGAGTCGAAAGATAGGGGAGACCCCTAATCTCTCTCTCTTCCCCTTTTATTTCCTCACTCTTTCTTCCTTTCCCCTCATCGCAACCCAGTTACGATATCTCCGTCCGGCATGAGAGAATCCAGACATTGCAATGTACACTCGGATTCTAAATCGTCGAATTTCTTGGATACCTTGAGTTACCAGGAATGCGAATTTTTCACAACCATTAATCAACGGGTTAACCTGCCTTCGGGAAAATCCCACCCGTTGGATTATTCTGTACGTGATTTGACTCAGGTAGATGAATCAACTTGAGTCATATTAATAATCTACTTGGATTCCAAGAGAACAAGTTGAATCAAGTCGTTATCTATTAGTAGCTGGAGTCAGTAGAATTTTGACGGTAGTCATTTGATTTTCAACTTGATTTAACTTGATTTGATTTCTCGTCGAGCTCAAAATATGACTTGATCGAATATGAGTCACTCGACTTGAATCAAGTGAAATGACCTTACAATCACATGGAGTAGAATCAGTACTTTGTCCTCGAGTCTAACGAGTAAATACTATTCTTTCAACCATTTTGTACCGAAGTGAATCAAGTCGTAGACATGACTCGAACAAATCTGCACGATCGACTTGAATCAAGCTAAAGACTTGACTTAAATGTATTTACCGAATTAGCTGAATTTGAATCAAAACATCGATTTGAATCAAGTCGAACTTGACCCGAGTCAAGTTGAACTCGGCCCGAATCAAGTTGAACTCGACTTGAATCAAGTTGAACTCGACTTGAATCAAGTTGAACTCGACTTGAATCAAGTTGAACTCGACTTGAATCAAATCGAAAAACGGCCTTGAATTAACCCGGCGTGCGACAAACTTGACTTGAATAACCAATTCAACCCAAAATAAGTCGATTCTCGACAGAATTCAGTAGAACTTGACTCAGACCAATTGTCCCTGTCAAAACCATAAACATCTCGTCAACCTTCCGCAGGCGAACGAAACCTGGAAATCAGCGCCTCCCCGCGTTAATACGAACAAACGAAAAGACGATATCAACAGAACAATGCATTCACCCCGTAACAAGATTTATCTCATGTGACACGATGTGGCTTTCGAATATATAATGCTCACTATATACCCCTTGTGTAATCGCGATCACTCTTCACTCTGTTGGCATATAACGTTATTTATGTTGGAAACGGCACATCATCTTCGAGAGCACAGCTGTAGAGCGTGATATACGAAAGGAATATATAATAGATGAAAATTATCGCCTTGTATTTTTGTCTCTTGTCAAAATAACCAGTGGAATAAACAAGTAGAGAGTGGAAAGCGTGCGAGAGGGGCTCTCGTTGCAATCGTTTTTACACCGCTGGTTTGACAGGTGTTTATATCCTGACACTTGGGAAACCTAATCTCGGGCAATGGACACCGGTAATTGCGTCAGAAAACAATCATTGGTTTTACGCTTCGTTGGAGATTATCATGGGAAAACCAATGGCCGCCAATTGAGAGATTATGAATCCTCGGGATAGCCCGCGCGGTACAAATATATATCAAGAAGATATATCTCAGATACGGAATTATTCACCGAAAATATATCCCATATATATTTGATTTGAATATTTAGATTATGGAAGTGTTGGATATATCTGCATATATTATATATCTGAAATTATATAATATCCGAATATTGTTCAGATATATCTTTGGATGTTTGATTGACCGCGCGGGCTGGGCTGGACAATTTCTCAAATTTCGGGGAATTATGACAATTAGTGGAAATATTTTGTAAATTCAAGATTTTGATTACATGCTATGGCACTGCCCGAATTGCCCGAATTTTAATACATAAAGAAAGAAATTGTTAGGTCGACTGACAAGGTCTGAACTTCCCCTTACGCAACGAATAATTTTGCAAGTGGAACGGACTTTATTTATATAGCAGTAATTTGTCAATATTTGGAAGAATCAAAGTTAAGAATTTGACATTATATCGACGGCGGAAATAAATGTTATCTGCACGCAGATTTCAACACTTCAGATAATTTTTAAGAAAGCCTTGGTTCAAATTTTTATTTATAATCTTGCATTATTTTTCATTGAAGTTTAATTGTGAGGGAAAATTATCTTAGATTTTTCGTTTCTTTTTATGCTGATGGAAATAAATATAGCCTGATGAGTGAATCGATAAAAAAATCTTTTAAATCAAATTTCTTTACTACAATTGATAGAGTAGAAAGGGCGTATTAATTCGTATATTTCGGATTGTAAAAAATATATTTGTAAATATATCAATCAAATGTCAGCCCCAGAAAAGAATCTAATCTGCAAAATGGATTTTTCTCTCAGGTCAGCGTTTCCCGTAAAAATTGTAGAAGAAAAACATAAACATTTAGGATATTTTGGAGAATATATTTAGCAAACAATTCAGCATTTACATTACTTTTACGAGACACATCATGAAAACAAAATAGTACCCAAGAAACCATGACGATTTGACTGCCTGCCAGGGAAAAAAGATTTCCAAATCCGCTTTCTCCCCGTTGCATTAGGAAAATTTGAGTGAATCAAGTGAACTAAAAACATAAAAATAAAAAAAAAACCTCATTCCTTGACTCCAATCGACGCGATGGAATTGTCGCCAAGAGTCGCTCAAGCGTTTCTCATTACATTTGTCATCCTTCACCGCGAGATAGAAACGAAAAATAAAATAAAAATAAAACGAGAATTTCAATCCGTTGTTTTGCCACGCCAGGAAAGTCAATTATTTACCCTTCTAAACAACTACTGACGCTAAGACTAAACCGATAAACAAAACAATCCAGAAATGAGATGAAAAACTCGAGACCGTGAGGATTTCACTTTCTAAGAGCCTCCGGATTTAATCTGAGAGATCCTCTAACGAGTGCCGCTAATGCACCTCGAAACATCCACCCATTTATGCCAAATGGTTTATATCAAAGTATTATTTATAAAAAATGAAAATGTTAACATACGGAAGTGTTCCTACTAGTTTCGCACAATTAAACTCGGATTTACCGTGTGACCTACGATTCGTGTATAATAAATCTTCAGCGATACGTCAATATTCCCTGATTTATCGATTTTCTAATTTCTTACTTTATGTCGGCGGTAATTTAATGGCAAATTGTGTTGGAATTTTTTTAATGAAAAAATTGTGACGCCTTTTTGCTGCCGAACGCGTGCGCGATTTATTAGGCGAGTGCTTGATGATTTTGATTGCGTGGAAATCAATGGAGCCGGACTGGGACTAATTGATTCTCCAGGAAATTTATAGTCTTAACCTCGATTTGATGATCGG